TGTTCAGCCTTGGTCAAACTCCAGCTTGTATATGCAACAACATACTCATTTCTTTCATCATTCTTTTGCGCCAAAACGGCAACCAACCTGAACCTGGAAGTATTAGCGTAGATTATATATGGCTTGTCGAAGTTCAAATATCGTAAAATTGGTATATTAATAAGAAACTGCTTTAACTTTTTAAAATATCATTCTGATCCTTTTTTTACTCATATTTAACATCCTTTTACAGTAAGAGATGAAGAAAGCATGCAATAGCAGCGAACTTGAGGATGAATTTGTAATAATATGAGACTAATCTCAAGAAACCTCATAATTGTTGAAGTATTTGCAACACAAGGTAATTCTAAATTTTATCTACTTTACTATTATTAGAATATATATTTTTCTACCAACGATATGGCCCAGGAATTGCAAATAGGGCTTGAAAAAAAAGCACTTATTCGGATTTAACTTTAATCTCATCTTATTTAATTTATTAAAGATAGTGATTAAATAGTTAGTATATTCTTCGAATAATAGTGAATAAATAATTATATTGTCAAAGTACATGATGATGAATTGCTCCAAGAATTTAGCTAACACTTTATTCATCATATACTGAAATGTGACAAGCCGTTATATAGTCTGAATAGCATCACTATGAACTTATAGATACTAAAACTTGTAATAAAAGCAGTTTTTTTCTTTATCTAAACCGCCAATATCTTGATATAAAATCTAATATCAAAAACCAAGTTATATTTCCAAATACTTCCAAAAGATCATTTACATATAGAAGAAAGAATGCATCTTTTTTTGTAACCATATTGAGCTTCTGATAATCAATATATAAATGTAGCTTATCACTCTTTTTTGAAATGATGATCACAAGAGATGCTCACGGGCTTGTACTCTCTTTTACCAACTTTTTGGCTATGGTGCTCCAAGTCACTTCTCATCAAAAATCATATATTTTTAAGAAATCTATAAAATCTTAAGTTTTAAATATTTTTTAAAAATATAACTAATAAAAACTATTGTTTTTCATTAGTTTTATCCAAATTATCGATTAAAATTTTTTAAAAAAGTTTAAAATTTAAAATTATAAGTGTTTGAAGTTACTATGTTTTCAAAATTTTGGCATTTAATATAAAAATTTTTAAAAAAAATTTTTAAATTTTTTTTTATCCAATTAGAATTAGTATATAATGTATTCTGATTGGCTAAAAAGCATTTATATAGACTCAAATTTGACATATTTGATGTGAAGTGACTTGGAGCACCATATTAATTTCTCAATTTTTTTCTTTATAAAACTATATATACTAGTAGTAGTACAGTATAGGGCTTGCTTTATAGAAAAGGCTTCTCTGGTGTTTATTTTATATATGGTCACCAATGATTGCCCAAGATCACTCACAGTTCTAGTGAAGATATTTACTTCTTTTATCAGCAAGTCGCATACAAGATTCTTTTGTTTATTTATTAAAGCTTCATCATCAAGATTTCTTTGCAGTTTTGTCATTACATCCTCTTCTTTGTCATTATTTTTTACAGAAATGTCTTTAGTACTAGTGAGAGATATAGCAAGATTTTTATAATCAATTTATGGGTTTTTGTATAGCTTCAATTCATCACATAGTTTAGATAATAATCCTTCTGCTTCATCCAAGATTTCCTCTTCAAATTCAAAGTCATTGAATAGGCCTGTTTCTTTTGGATCCTTTAATTCTTTGGATTTATTATCAAATACTAGGTGCTAAAGGAATTTCTTCTTTGTAAAACATGGATATTTTGATAAATTTATCCTAGTATTATATATATAACTTCCTTTCATCTGCATAGAAGCAGATACCAGTTTATCAGAACCAATCTATATATAGCAGGAGGGTTTGTTTGGTCGATTCTATTATTTGAAAGCTGGTTAATAATACTATACAATCTAGAACTAACTTAAGATTGTTTATTTTTCTAAAAGCTCTTACTTTAGATCTATTTGCAATAATGACCATGGTGGTGAAGAGTTTGTTGATCCTTAGCTGTAGTTTTTTTATTATTTAATTTAATATTATACTCATAGTAGCACTGGAGTCAATTATAGCAATTACAAAGTTTTCTTTGATCCTGACATAATACCAGGTAGTAGTAGTTCTCTTATTGCTAAAGGTTTGGGTGGCAGTGATTTTTATAGCTCCTGGTGTGACTGAAGAGTCTGTGACAATTACTAATACAAGAGGCTTTTTTAACATATTTGCCAAGTTATATTGCTGATCTGTATATTGTAATATTTGATACTATGTAA